TGAAACACACACACATACATACACACAGAGTGTCAGTGTGTGTGCGCGGGACAAGCTCAGGATAGCAGTGATAACGTCAGTGTACCTGCAGGATGTCCAGCAGGCCCAGTATAGCGGTGCGCACGTCCTCCAGCGGCGACTCCACACACAGTTCTCTGTCGCCCTCTACAGAGCAGCTCAGAGGACGACTGGCCACCTGCACGCACACACACACACACACACACACACACACATCACAAAGGGATTTAATTTAATTTTATCTGTTTGCAGTGTGTGAATTTGGGTGTATTTTTAAAGTTTTGAATGTGTGTTGACCTTCTCGATGATGTCCAGCAGACTGCTGAAGTGGTGTGTGCTGCAGCCCTCGGCCAGATCCACCAGCAGCTGTGTGGCCTGCTTCCTGACTGACGGGTCACGATCCTCAGCTATCTGACCCAGCTGAGGGATGACCACCACCTCAATCAGCTCCTCCTGAACACACACACAAATAAATAAACATAAGCACACATACACACATGCATGCACAGCAGGACACAACCACACACACACACACAAACAAATAAACAAACACACACACTCACAAAAAAATACACACAGAAATAAAAAAATACCCACACACAAAACAAACACACAAACACACACAGACACAAAAACACACATAAAAACACACACAGACACAAAAAAAACACACAAACACACACAGACACAAAAACACACATAAAAACACACACAGACAACACACACATACACAAACAAAACAAAAACACACAGACACAAAGACACAAAACAAACAACACACACATACACAGACACAAAAACACACATAAAAACACACACAGACACAAAACAAACAACACACACATACACAAACAAAACAAAAACACACAGACACAAAGACACAAAACAAACAACACACACATACACAGACACAAAAACACACATAAAAACACACACAGACACAAAACACACAACACACACATACACAAACAAAACAAAAACACACAGACACAAAGACACAAAACAAACAACACACACATACACAGACACAAAAACACACATAAAAACACACACAGACACAAAACACACAACACACACATACACAAACAAAACAAAAACACACAGACACAAAGACACAAAACAAACAACACACACATACACAGACACAAAAACACACATAAAAACACACACAGACACAAAACACACAACACACACATACACAAACAAAACAAAAACACACAGACACAAAGACACAAAACAAACAACACACACATACACAGACACAAAAACACACATAAAAACACACACAGACCCAAAACAAACAAAACACACACACACACACACAAACAAAACAAAAACACACAGACACAAAGCAAACAAACACACACAAACAAACAAAAAACAAACACAGACACACATAAACAAACACACATACAAACACAAAATAAAAAACAAACACACAAACACACATTAACAAAACACACACACAAACAAACAAACACACACAGACAAACAAACAAAAAACAAATACACAAACAAAAACAGACACAAACACACACACACACACACAAACAAACACACATACAGACAAAAAGCAAAAAACAAACACACACACACTCACTAACAAAAAACACACACAAACAAAAAACACACACAGACAGAAAAACAAACAAACACAAAACAC